AATCTCTGCGACGATTAAGAAACAAAAACCAAGCAATAAAATACATTATTTTAGTAGACAATAAAAAATCAGTGCAAAAAATTTCAAATAAGCAAAGTTCAGTCCAGTTACAGATAATATGCAAAACATTTTTTAGTGTGTGTGAAAATAATTAAAAAGTATTATTAATAATCATTTAATTCTTCTCCATACTGGACAGCCTACTTATGGGCTCACTAACAGACAAAAAATTTCCGATCTTCTGGATTTCGCTATAGTAAAAGGAATATCACATACCTATCACCAAACTTCACCTTTATTTGATCTCTCATCAAATCATTCCTCTTTCTTCATAGATCTACAAAGCCAAATTCGCAACTGTCCTAAACATTTAACACTTGCGAGAAGTAGTTCTTCATAGAAGAACTAACTGGAACAGATATAGAGAAGAAATAAAAACATCCATTAACCTAAACTTGCCTCTTAAAAGTGATAGTAACATAGAAAATGCAGTTGCTCACTTAACTACAGTTGACGAGCAACAGAGCAAAAAGCAATACATCTAGTTTTAGATATTTTTAAGTAAATATTAGAAAGTACTTGGTTTAGTTTAATCTATATTGTGAACTATTCATTTCAGGGAATGTGATTTAAATTCAATATATATTGCTATATGAACAATTATATGTTATGAAATAAATCATTAACAATAAAATAAAAAAAATAATAAGAGAGACAAAACAAACTTACTATGAGGAAAAGTATAAATAAATAGAGGATATTCAGAATAAATATGACCTATTCAACCTATAAAAAGGTCAAAGAAATGGCAGGGCTGCAAAAAAAACCACAACACATTTAGATAGAAATGGAAATACTATGATAACGACTGATGAAAAGCTAAAACGATGTAAAGCATATATGGAAGAGCTCTTCGACGACGAAAGAGGAAACCTTCAAGACATATCTTTCGAGGACAGAGAAACAAGTATAGAAATTACAAAGGAAGAAACATGGTATGCACTAAATAACACCATAAACGGAAAAAGCCCGGGGCCTGATCAACTGCCTGTTAATATCCTTAAAATAATAGAAAATGAGTACATGGATGTCCTCTTAAAGATCTTTAATGAAATTTATCAGTCGGGTGACATACCCAATGGATGGTTGACCTTAACATTTATTTGTCTCGCAAAAAAGATAAATGCTAGAGAATGCACCGACCACCGTATCATAAGCCTGATGTCTCAAACACGTAAAATGTTTTTAAATATCATCAATAAACGCATTTACCAAATACTTAATATGGATATTGAAGAAACCCGATTTGGATTCTGTAGAGGCGTAGATACCCGTGAAACTCTCTTTGCTTTGAACGTAATAATCCAGAGATGCTTCGATCTGAACCAAGATATTATGCACGTTCATGGTACAATGAATACAAGGTATGATACATAATGTTAAAAAATCGGATCGCTTTCGCGCATGACGTAGTCAAGACCGCTTATTCCCGCAACATTTGAATGTAGTTATATAGTAAAGACTTTCAATTTGAAATCTTTTTATATAATTTGGCTAATTTAATTATAGTAATTATAAAGACATGATAAAATTATGTTATTATAATATTTAATCACAAATAAAAATTTTAAGTTAATTTAAGTTTATTGATTTTTGGTATAGTTATTTTGTTAACATAGATATCCGTTATAAAACACGTTTTAACCCTTTCATTGCTACATTTTGATTTAAGACATGCCCAGAAGCGGGTATTTATTTTTGTAAAAAATAAAAAAAAATTATTGAAAAAGTCCTGTTTTGGATTAAGGGATGTAAAATTATTACTCAGATGTCAATTTCGACATGTGTTACGGATCCTTGCCATGCGCACTGGTCAAAAAATTTTCTATGCAGTGCTCGTCGACACAGATCCGTGACAAATACATTTCTATGAGTGGTTTAGGCCAAAATTTTTGTAGAAGAAACTTTAAAGGATGCTAAGATAATCTTTATTTTGTTAATAATCAGTAAATAAAATATTTGAACTCATAAGATTAAAATAAAAAAAGAACAAGAATAATACACTTTCCCCATTAAATTAACAAAAACAGGAAAATATTTGTGTTGCAGCAAAGTACAAAATAAAATAAACTAATACAATAAAAAGATAATCATTTTTCTTTTTTCCAAATTTTCTTGTGGGAACAAAATCTACAACGTTTTCTGTTTGTTTCAAATTTTTTGTTCACAGCCTGGCACGGATCTCTGCCATGCGCAGTGAAAGGGTTAATCATCTTTTATTACACGTAGGTACAGATTAATCACTTTCAATTTCATTATAACCCATCTAAAATTCCATATTGAACTATAAATCAGATTTTTCTTTATTGTAAACTATTTTGGTTTTACTTCAGTAAAACTGCTTGACAGTGAAATGAGTGACAGTGAATCAGAATACGCAAATCTACCACTATTTACCCATTTACAGTATTTCCTCTGCACAGAACTTTTAAATTTCAACGGATTTGTATACAAAAAGAGTGCTTATATTATTAGTATATGTATGAAAATAAAAATAAATATTTCGCCTGAATCCCCAGGAAAAGTAAAGGTTTTACGCTACTAAAAATATATTTTTTATTCAATTATAACCAAAACAAAACATTAAAAAAAATTCGATAATTTTTTAACCATAATTTCAAAATTCATGTGTACGGTAAGCTGTAATAATGGGTTCGAATCATTTCGAGCGGTCTTGACTACGACACACTCTTGGGCCAGCTGTCAAATGTCATGCGAAATATCATACCTTGTATTAATTGTACCATTATTTACGTCTCTTTATTAGATTACAAAAAGGCTTTCGATAAAATCAGACACAAAGAGCTAATGGACGTCCTCAAAGCAAAACAATGACCTTCGAATTATAACTAATCTATATTATAAACAGCAGGCACACATACTTGTGCCTGTACTAATGAACATACATTAGAAGAGTTCGAAATTAAAAGAGGATTGCGATAGGGGTGTATATTATCACCACTACTATTCAATGTATACTCTGAAGAAACTATGAAAACAGCTCTTGAGGGAGAAACAGCAGGAATAAAGGTAAATGAAACACCAAATAAAAACATAAGATATGCGGACAATACTATTATAATAGCAGACAACCTCCAAGACTAATAAACAAGTTAGTTGAGTTTGGAGAAGAATATGGATTATCAATAAACACCAAGAAAACCAAATTTATGAAGATATCAAAAACTTAAAATAATGGTGAAAGACTGACAATTAACGGTAGTGCTTTAAGACAAAATGTTTTCAAACAACTAAATTGGGCCGAAAATGGATTAAAAATAGATGGAGAATATCTTAACCATTTGCGTTTTGCAGACGACATAGTACTAATAAGCACAGATATCCATGAACTAAAATCAATGCTACAAGATTTAAATCACAAATCGAATCAAATAGGATTAAAATGAATCTCGACAAAACAAAGATATTAAGCAACAGCCTAGAAAACATCACGATAGATAACATCAATATAGAAAAGGTAAAACAATATATATATATATATATATATATATATATATATATATATATATATACACATATATCTAGGACATGCAATTAAAAACGAAAAAGAAAATCAAACCCTAGAAATTAAAAGAAGGACACAATTATCATGGGCTGCTTTTGGTAAGTTGAGCTTCAGTTTAAAAGACAGAAAAATCCCAATTCACTTAAAACGAAAAACCTATGACACTTGTACAGTTGCAACTTATGGACTGGAAACTATGGCAATAACAAGAAAAATGGCAGAACAATTAAGAGTAACTCAACGGGCCATGTTAAATATAAGCCTCAGAGACAAAATTCCTAACACCGAAATACGTCGAAGAACTAAAGTAACCGACATCATGGAAAAAATAGCGACATTGGCAATGGGTAGCACATGTAGCAAGACAAGACACCAACAGATGGTCTCATAAAGTGACATTCTGGAGACCTCGAGAAACAAAAAGAAGCGTGGGAAGACCTAAAAAGAGATGGATAGACGATATAACTGCTGTAGCTGAAAAGCAGTGGATGAGAATTGCAAAAGATAGGGAAGCGTGGAAGCAATTGGAGGAGGCCTACGTCCAACATTGGATAAATGAAGGCTGAAGAAGAACAAGAAAGAAGAAGCTTTAAGACAAGTTGAAAACTACCACTATCTTGGCACAATAATTAATCACACAAACGATTACTACAAAGAAATCAAAGTTCGAATAGAGAAAGCATGTAAAAACTTCAATAAAATGAGAAAGGTACTTTGTGCAATAGAACTAAAATTAGACTTAGAGTTAAGGTGACAAGGTTTTATATTTTCTCGACTCTGCTTTACGGGAATAAAAGCATGGACACTTAACGCGTCGATTACTAAAAAGTTGGAAGCATTTGTTGGAAGCAACAAACAACAAAGTCATAAGAAGAGTCAACAAAGGAATGGAAATATTGGAAACTATTAAGACACGAAAGCTGCAATACTTGGGGTATGTTACGCGTACAATTAATTATACAAGAGAAAATCCAGGGCAAGAAAAGTGTAGGAAAGAAAAGAATCTCATGTTTGCGTAACTTGAGGGAATGGTACGGATGCACATCAATCGAACTATTCAGAGCGGCAGCATCTAAGATCAGAATAGCCATGAGGATTGCGAACCTCCGTCACGGAAATTTGCAAGCTGGGATGCTTCAGTTTCTGTAGAATTTGTAGCCATGTTAACTGTATTATCAGCATATGTAGCGTTTGTTGTATTGTTCGTGGTTGGGAGATCTGATGTGTATATTATAGATTATGTAATTATATCTATATATTATCTATTATACTAAGTACGATTATATCTATAGAGCCATATAAGACCAATAAAAATAAAAATGTACAATTCAAAACATACTTAAGTCTTCATCCAAATTATATTAAAAACATATTTCGTCAATTATTTTAAGATAATATAGACTATATAATTTACCTTAAGTTTATTCTATTTTGTAAAGGGTCTGCTTCAGTCATATAACTTTCCAACACGATGGGCGTTTTGTGACCTTTAAGATTAAATATATCGTCGTACTTATCCTTAAAAGTTCCTGTTTTAAATGCAGTCAGACAATTGGTGGTAATATCGGAATAAGCATTTTTTGTATCATTAAAGAGACATCTTAGAATTTGTACTTTTACTTGAGGCACTTTGTAAATGGTTGCACGGCGTCTCACGACTACTGGTCTCGAACATCGCTGGCCAGATATCTCAATTAGTGTGCAGGTAAACAAAACTAGTTCCAGTAAAATTTTCATTCTACAAAAAAAGAGTTAAATTTTTATAATTATCTATATATGGAGCGTGTTAAAAGAAGCGGTAGGTTCGAATCTAATATATCGCGAAATTTATATCCGATCAAGAAACATATAAAGTGTTGAATATTTTTAAAAAATTTATCTAATGATACCAAATACGTACCCTCAGTCGCACCTCTGTGTATGGGACGGGAGGAAATTTAAAATCTTAAAAAGGAATTGTTGAAAAATGGCGCTATAATCGAAAATAAAAAACGATTTATCCTGATACCCTAGAAAAACTATGCAAACGGTTTAATATCTCTAGAAATACACTTCCAAATGAAAAACTAAAAAATACGTTTTTATTATTTTTCAAAAATCTATTCCGATTCTACAGTATCGGAAGTCTGCAAATTAATTTTTATGACAATGAATATATTTTTTTACTAAGAATCAAAATCTGCTAATAAAAATGGGGGTATCTATTTAAGACTTCAAAGTTGCCTTCCGCACCCCTAGAAGGTAGTCATGAGGAGTGGCATTTAGTGCCATTTGACAGATTTTTGAAAAATAATAAATACGTGTTTTTTTATTTTTCATTTAGAAGTGTAAAGTGTATTTTTTGAGATATTAGAGCGTTTCCATAATTTTCTTTCCTAGGGTATCATGATAAATCACATTTTTTCTATTACAGCGCCATCTATAATTCTAAAAAATATTTCAAATAAAATTAACTTATTTTTTATGAGGAATTCAAATCTGCCATAAAAAATATGGGTCTCCATTTAATATTTTGAAGATGACCCCGTACCATCCACAGGGGGTGAGGCTTAGGTATCATATTTCGTATGCGTCGTATATCTACAATTATTATTAGTGTTTCTACATTATTTTTAAATGTTTATGGAATTTCCTACAGATAACAGAAATTTCTGTTTTTGTCAAAAATTTAAGTTCGATAAGCGGCAAGAAATTACTTTGTTATCGTACTGACTTTAACAACCAGACCAATTTGGTATTAAAACGTTTTGAGTACAGAATTTGTAATTGTATTTAAACCACATTAGGACCAACGAATGCTGCATGAGCCATAACTTTAGTGCAAAATGACCGTAGCCAATATCATGCCGCCCAGGCGCTAGGTGTAAGTCGTTCAAAGGGGCATTCATCGCTTCAATCAAATTACACTAGAAGGTCAGAAATTGACTCAAAGAAGTCCGAAACGTGAATGTAAGAAGGTAAATAAACCCTCGACGACGACTTTATAAAGCAAATTTATTATCCAGAAGACCAACCCTATGTCCACAGCAACCTGTGGAATACTGCAGAGCCCGACAGAGCCAGAAAACACAAAGTTTTTGCTTGAGGCTACCAGACGCGCTCAAAAGAATCTGGAGAAGAAATGGAGAACGATTTATAACTATGTATAAGTTCCGATGCTCGTACTGAGTTTGTTTTTGTAAATGGAGGTTCTAAGATATAATGAAGTTTTAAAATATAACAACCATTTTAGATAAGCATGTAGTACTTTTTGCGCCATTCAAGAACGAATCGTTTGAGCGATAACGTGCATCTTATAGAAACGTCACTAATGATTAGAACACGTAAGAATTATCTTTGTGAATTAACCAGCTTCCAGACCCGATCTAAATCCAATCGAACATCTACGAGACGCACGGAAAAGACAAATTCCCATTCATACAATATGAGACCAATATTCACACCACGATATATGCAATGCGTTATAAGGCCCGATAAGAAAATACTTGGTATTAATAACAAATAAATATATTTTATAAATAAATATTTACATTTATTGTTCCTTCTTAAATCAATACTCTATCATATAATATAATATAATCATATAATAATTAAAAATAGTTATCCTAGGGGTCTATTAAATTAATTAATTTTTAGTACTAATTACAACAGAATACTGCAGGTAGATATCATTAAACCCCAAGAAGGGGAGATAGAAGCTTTGCCTATCTGATCTCATTTTTCTCTACCATATATACCAAGTTTAACACCTAAATTGTCTAAAATTTTGTAAAAGCACAGAAATTAGGATTGCAGTTAAAAATATTAAAATCTCTTATAGTTTGTATACCAAAACAAAGACTCCACTACAAAGTATTGAAAGCTCTGTTATTTACTCCATAACGTGTAGAACGTGTATGTGGGAAATATTACGTTTGTCAGACCTCACGTAACTTATCTCTTAGAATACCTTCTCATAGAAGTGATATCAAGAGAAATGTCATATCGCGTGCCTTGGCAGAGCATGTGATCAACGAGGATCATGCTTTTATTTTTTTAGAATTAAGAATTTTAAAAAGATAAATTAATTTACGTAAGAGACAATTTAAAGAAAAGGTTTGGATAAAAAGTCGGATTGTATTAATAAGAGGTTTGACAATGATAATTTAAGCATAATTTATAATAAAATTTTGTCCTATTAATTATTAAAAATTTAATAAATAAATAACAAATGAGAAATATTAATTCCGAATACTAGTTGGTTTCGTTTTCTAACCGTATTTGATTTTTAATTTATTATTTCACTTATTATATCTATAGATTTTTAGATCTTTTCATAATTTTTTTTATATATTGTTTTTTCGTTGATTTCTTTCATTATCCCTTGAGTTATTGTAGCAGTCAAACGATATGTAAGTGATGTCAAATTCACATCAAATAATTGTTTCGATAAAATTTTATTTAGTAGAGTAGTTTAAAATTGTAATATGTTTAATTTTCACTAATTCTAAATTCTTCATATTCATCAAAGTGATTGAATTAATTCGTAACCACGAGCAGTAAGCAGTTAAAAAAAATCTTAAAAGAAAGATGCCAACAAAAATATATATCGAAAAAATAGACCTAAGTGACACTACACAATTAAAAAAAAGCCAAAAAAAAATTTGCAACAAATAAGGGGAACAACACGACTTAACGCTGCGTATAAAAATAGATAATAAAATTAGAAAATTTTCCTGCAGCTCGAAATCCAAGTAGAAAGCTACCAATATGAAAAACCTACAAAGGCCTAATCATGAACTTTAAACAAGCGTATAATATAGTATAATAAACCAGCATGTTTGTGTCTGATTGATTTGGCATTTGACAGAGTAATCCATTTTCTGTATAATACAGAAGTTCCCGTAAATATCATAAAACCTATTGAAAACATCTACCAAAAAAACAAAATGAAGTCATAATAGATGGACAACTTACACCTATTATTACATCTTACATTCTGTACATTTCACTACTATTTTATAAAAATTAATAGTTTTAACATACTCAAATGAAATGCATTTAGTGATGACAATGTTAAGTTATGACAATGAAGAGATAGAGAGATGAAAAAGAAAAAGGTGAGACCAAAAGTCACGTTGTTCCCAAATGCCTCATACTGAAAAGCTTGAAAAAGGTTACCGAAGAATAAGGTTAAAGCCTAAAAATATATTGCTATGCTTTGTGTTACCCCACAAATGAAAATGACATTCTTTAGTCTACCAGCTCTTACTGAGAGCATTGGGATTATCATATTGGGAAGCAATAACTTTGTAAAAATATTCAAGTCTTACTGCATAGTCATTCACGATTGTTGGATAGTGATTAACGTATTGACCGTTATTATTTGTTTTGGTTTTTGTTTTTACCAAAAAACTATATTTTAATATTTGTTTGAGAAATATTTCTTTTTGTTATATTAACAGATTTTAACATTTTTATTGAACTATTGAAATCAATTCACTAAATATGGATGCATTTGTTGAAGAATATGAACTAGTTGATGAAAAATCATGCATAATAGAATCAATCACAAATAATAATGCCTTAATTAATAATTTAATACGACCTCTTAATATTATGCATATTAAAGAAGCTGTCAAAAAAATTTTGATGCCTTTGTAATTTTTTTATCTCCATGTAGAGAGATTTAACAAAAACGATAGAGTAATGATTTATGTAAAAAAGCATATTAACCATAAATATAAAATAATAGATAATAACAGTAACAAAACTAATTAAACTAGAAATTTTACTGAACAAAAAGAAAATTATTTCAACTGCTCTGGATAGACCACCCAGTAGTTGTCTAATAACATTCAATAATAATTTAATCTATTATTTAAATATTAACAATAGATCCGATGTTCATATTTTTGTATGTTATATAAACATTAATCTTTTAATTAATAAATTTAATTTTTTTGGAGTGTAAAGAATTCGTAGAGGGGTATAAAAGTATCATAAGTGAATATAGATTTATCATATATAAATGAATATACAAGTGCAGCAAACTCTCTTTTTCAAACTTTGAGAATAATCTTATATCTTATGTCTTTAGATATCATGGTATTATTACTGATCATTCCCCCATAGCACTCAGTATTAATAATTTTAACATAATAAATATAAATGGCACGCAATCCAAAATGTTCAATTATTTTATCTATTACACAAAACTAAAGTCAGATTTATAACAAGAAAATTGGTTTTTGGTTTACTCAGAAAAAGATATTAAAAAAAAAACATGGAATGGTTCATTACAAAACTACAAAATTATAAACTTAAATACTAACAAAATAAAAATTAAACAAAAAGGAAAATATAAAAAACCATGGATAACACCATCTTTGTAAATAAAATTTTTATAAATAAAAATAATATAGCAAAATGTATTCAACAATTTAAAAAACTTATGCAGATGGGCTAATAAATGCTAACAAAAGATTCCAAAAATCTTATGGAGATGTGTAAATAACTTCTGTGGAAAAACAGCTTCAAAAGAAATATAAAACTGTTAAAAACGCAAAATGATGAAATAATAACTAATAAAAAAAGAATATCAAATAAATTTGTAGACTACTATACCGATTTAGGAAAACGATATGCAGAAATCATTTCTGAGCCAACTGAATTTCGAGAAAATATATTGAAAATAAATAATACTATGTACCTATTTCCAACGATTGAAAATAAGGTTAAAGAAACAATAAAATCTATAAAAAATAAAAAGTCATCAGGACATAATAATATTAGATCTGAAGCTTTAAGAGTAATAACAAAACAGATTTCAAAACCTCTAACATACATAATAAATACATGTCTTAATTTAGGCATTTTTTAAAAACTGGAACTATTTTTAAAAACTGGTACTATTAAACCACTATTCAAATCTGGTGAATAAATATATTGTCAGATTATAGGCCTATCACCTTAATCCCAATCATAGGCAAAATATTAGAAACAATAAGTAAGATACGACTTACAAATTAAAAAAAGTCAATATGCTATCTGACTCTCAGTATGGATTTCAAGAAAGAAAATCCACTAAAGATGCAATCCATGTTTTAACAACTAACATCTACAAATCTCTTGATAATGCAGGACCAGCTATTTGTATATTTGTATATTTATCAAAGGCATTTGACACTGTTTCATATAAAATATTGCTAACTTAACTTAAAAATATAGGACACTATGTCAAACGCTTCAATCAAAAGACGTATGTTTGTGTATTGATCGGTTTTTAACCACTCTTGATTACATGAATAATCTTGAGTTTACATGCATTGGTAAATAAGTGAAGCGCAGAAAGAATACGCTACAATTTATTGATAAGAGGTGAATCTGATTCATTGGTAAATGATGAAGGCGTAATGGTAGTTAGATGGCTGGACACTAAATCAGTTTTACTTCTATCAAACTGCCACTCGCCATCTTTATCACCGATTGAAAGAAAACTAAAAACAGGCAAAAAATGTACTTTTGATTGCTCTGAAGCTATAGTATTTTACAATAAATAACTGGGAGAGGTTGATTTGGCTGATTAAAAGATTGCCACCTATGATTTAGACAGAAAATCTACTAAATGGTGGTGTAAAGTTTTCTACAAATTGTTGTATAATATATGGATTTTACATAGATATTATTTTAGGAAATTTAGAATAAAAAGAAGAAAGTTCCTCTTTTTCATTATTTAGTACCTGTACCCGAGCAATTGATAATTTTGGGCAGATCCAAAGCCAAAATTTAAAGAAGAGTCTCTGGTCGTCCAGGTAGGCACACAAATCACCTCACACAATCGTCCAGGTAGATCACCTTCCAAAACAAACTAGCAGTAAAAGAAGATGTTTCAGTTGTTCTCAAAAGAAGAAGAAAAGCCGTATAAAAACTTTATTTGTTGGATGCAAAGTCCCACTAAGCAAAAAGTGTTTTTTAACATTCCACTTATAAGTGTGTTTCAATCATACCTTATTCTTTAATATTTTTTTTTGTAATTGCTATTTTTATTACTGATGGGACATCAAAATCCCAGCAAAAATTACTATTGGGGCCAAAAGTTCCCACCTTCTTAGAACGGTCAAATGTAAATTTTATGACTAATTATATACCTACATAATTTGTTTAAATTAATTATTCTGATTATAAAACTGAATAGTTTAAGTCTCTTACATGAAAAAAGAAATTCAGTGGTGAATGGATAAAGAAATACATCAAGATATCACTTTTTGCAAAAAACAGTTTCTTTAAAGACTAAAATATAAAAGATAATGAAATAAAGATAATGTGGACAAATTATATAATGATAATCATCAACCTGGATAGATAAAGTATTTAGGAGAACGTTAAAAGCAGATATTGCTTACCTATGTCTTCTTCCAATTATAAGCACTTCAAACTAAATATTGCAAATTTTGGATTGGGTATATTCGTAAAAATACCAATCCCTTCCAATTTAAGTAAAAATGGTCCTTTTATCATACTTGGTTTTCTATAATTCCGGTGGTTAAATATATCTTAACTGGATAACTGACGAGATAACACTGCATTGATGAATATTTTCGCAGGAATATTTTTAAATAAAAAAAACTTGTGGTTTGCAAAAGACCACAAATAGAAGCAGTTGATTATATAACGAATATTCTCTTCCCGTCACTTAACGAGAATAACAAAACTTGTTTATAAAATATATTGTTGTCACATTTCTTTTTAAATACGATTCAAGTACAACGTAAAGTTATGATCATAATAAAAAAAAAACATGAAAAATTCCTTTTTTTAGTATTAAGAGTTCTACACAGAACCTCTGGAGGAATTCTCTCGTATGTAAAGTTTGTACATAAATGTGTTTATGGATTTTTATACTGACTGCGATATAAAAACAAAACGAAATTGGGCATTGTAAAACTACTTAACATAAGTTTGTATCTCATGTTTTTAATTTTTTTAAACTCGATGTCCAACTTATTAAAAAAAGGCATCGAAAAACTATAAATTTTTTTTCACTTAGCGATAAGACCTGTATCTAGCCGTGAACAAAAGAATCATAGACCTATATAGAGCATTGGAGGAAATAATCGTAGACCTATGTACAGCACTGGAGAAAAGAATCGTAGACCTATGTAGAGTACTGGGCGAAAAATATGCGTCGAGTACTAGACGAAAGAATGCAAGCGTATATGTAGCATTGTAAAAAATATTGGGTTCTCCTGTCAAGGAGAACCCAATATTCAGTGGACGTTCAATTAGTAAATAAAAGAAGGTGACATGGGACGAAAAACTGATCAGCTGACGAAAAGAAGAAGACGAAAGAGATGAAAAGAAGAAATGACTCGACTTGTCAGTGAGCATGACGTCCCTCGAACACCTGAGCAGATGCAAACATCAAAGGATGTCGGTAAAATTTTCCCAGCCCCAACCGCCGCAACATCTACTTTCAGTACAATCTTACAATCTTCAATTAAAACGCTTTTTCTCGTATATAGTATCATAAGAGAGAAAATTTTACCGGCAATATTTTCGACTGGTATGAAAGTTTGTTGCTTGGCATTTTTCTGCGAATTAAATTTTGACAGTTAAATCACGAGACGTCAGTCAAGTTAAAATTTCATAAGCGAAAATTGCCAAAAGGCAACAAACTTGAATAAAACCAGAAGAAAATTGCACCGTATCAACGAAACATAATCTTTATTTATTTTTTAACAATGTTAAATGTACAATTATTATAAGCTGTAGTAGCTTGCCCATAAAGTACATGGAATATATTCAAATGCATTCAAAACAGAGAAAGGAACTAGACAAGGTTGCATACTATCACCATTATTGTACAACATATATTCTGAATATATAATGAGAAAAGTACTAGATGAATGGGATGGAGGAATCACTATAGGAGGCAGAAAAATCAGTAACCTGCAATACGCAGACGACACACTTATACTAGCAGCGAATGAAGTCGAAATGATTACCATCATCGAACGGCTAAGCCGAATAAGTGAAGAATTCGGACTTCAAATCAACACCGGAAAAACAAAAATAATGATTGTAGACAGAGCAAATAATAATCTACCGCATATACGCCAAATAGAGATTTTCGAAGTAGTCGACAGACAGAGTTGTATACTTGGGCTCTCTCATAACCAACAATGGTGATTGTTCCTCAGAAATCAAACGTAGACTAGGAATGGCCCGAACCACAACTGCTAAATTAATTAAAATATGGAAAGACCGAACAATAACAAGGAATACTAAGCTTAGGTTGGTCAATGCCCTTATCTTTCCCATTGCTACATATGCAGCTGAAACATGGACTCTCAAAAAAATCGATAGGAGTAAGATCGAAGCCTTCAAAATGTGGGTATATAGAAGAATTTTACGCGTGTCCTGGACAGAACATAGAACCAACCTGTCAATCCTGGAAGAGCTTCATATAAAAGACAGGCTACTAAAAAAAGTAAACCAAGCATACCTAACTTACTAAAAAAAGTAAACCAAGCATACCTGACAAGGGCTAAAGGATTGAGGAGAAGGAGCTTGCCCATTGTTTTCCACCAAAGCATGATTTTGTGTATTATTGACCTGTAGCCTTTGGGAACTCGAAGGTCCAGCTTCATTTGTTGTTCTGAGATTCCAGCTGCAGATACAGTTTTAGAGAGCATGCATTTGAATGGCCCGTTAATTTAATTAACTTATGTTTTGACACACCTTGCTTGTACCAGGCTGACACAGCTGAAGATCAATGATAATGGTTTGCTATTTTATGTTTTTTTGTGTCTATCCCAATTTTTTCAGCTGAGATTTTTGTCCACTTCGATACGGTGTTGATTCCAAGTGGACAGATTTTGAACCAAGATCCATTCTTCCAGTTGGCGTGAACGATAAGAAAGAGTCTTTTCCAACCATTTTCTGCTTGCCAAAATTTTAGAACCGCCTTGATTTGTTTTAAAAAAAATGCTGTTGTATTTAATTTGGCCCGTAAATTCTACCATAACATTAAATTCCTACTGGAAAAAATTAATCTTACAGTTTATGGCCTCATTGCCTCTCCAAGCAAGTTCAAATGAGCAAGGGTAAAAACATTTTTTTGTGCTCCATTGGGGGTTTTCTCGTCGTAGCTTTGAATGATTTATAATATTTCTTGGGTAAATAATGCTTTTAAACTGTTTTCTTTTTTCTTGAACACTTTGAAGCTGCCTCCGTTTGGTATCTCTAGTAAATCTTGCACATTTAAAATGTATATCTGTGAAAGAGTCGATTTTATTGCCGTACACCGTAGAATATTTTTCTTGTACCATTTTTGTTGTAGTATTCCACATTGACTTTACAGACGACTCTTTATAATTTTCGTCATTGCCTTTTTTCATGTTAGGGGCTTAATACTTAAGAACTTTTTGCTAGTTCCATTATGGTAGTACATCTTTCAAGCGTAAAATTTCTCACCCGTAGGAACTCCGAAAATTGGGTCCAAATAGAGCTTCTGGACCACTGCTTGTTCAATGGGTAATTTTCCGGAACCAATTTTTTATTTTTTTACCTGACTGGCATCCAAATTTTGATTTTTCTTCTAGATTCATTAGATCTATCCAAAACCGATTACGCTTTGATTACATTTGTCAAACTGACAACAATACAATTACCAGACACCTTCGTGACGGATCTGTCATAATTTTTTCGCTAAGAAATCACGGACAGGAAGGAGTTTTGTCAGTAGGAAATGTGGTAGCGTTGTTATGACGTTTTATCAGTTAAAAATAGTCTAGTAAAATACCAGGCATTTTTAATTGTTTACTTGAATTTGATTGTCATCTATTTTCTATATTGGCATATCTATCAATTAAAATAAATATTACCTTGTGGGTATGAAATCGACATTATTCGACAAAACGCAGCCGCAAATAGTAAAATAAATTAAGAATGGAAAGTACCTAGACAGTACCTAATATTCTGTCTACTACCTACTAAGAAAATCAATCACCTGATTAAAAATCTTAATAAGAGCATGTAAAAGACGATAATATGCCCGACGTCTAGATAGTTGTTAAAAAAATTATACTAGTAGAAATATACTCCAATATACCAGATTACTTAGGGCTCCATAACATGGAAGATAGTGAACCTTTTGACACCATAGATATCTGGGAAAAGGGAATTTTAACCTATACATGACGAAACTGGTCTTTTTATACCTATATATTACAATAATTCAGGTAAACAGTCCAAAACACTTCGAAGTGGATGACTCCACGGAAACGTTTAGAGTTTTGGTAAAATTTCAAATCCTGTAGACTATTGAAGACCCATCAACCCTAAGTTCTCTAAAAAGCGCAACAGGTCTGGCTTGCACAGCACTTTTGAAATTAAACATCTATCATGAATGGGTTGCTTGTGTGAGTCCATTTCAAATAAGTAAAGAAATAATAAATAAGACTTACTCACAATCAATTTAATTTAACTGTCAGACGACCGGTTTCGCTTTCTACAATATGCAAAGCATCCTCAGGTCTCGATACAAAGTTAAACAAATGATGCCGGTACTCTATTATCATATCTATTATCTTTTATCTATAACTTTGTATCGAGACCTGAGGAGGCTTTGCATATTGTAGAAAGCGAAACCGGTCGTCTGATAGTTAAATTAAATTGATTGTGAGTAAGTCTTATTTATTATTTCTTTACCTATTTTAAACATATATGTCCGATTCTATCTTATTTTTATTTTTTATCTTATTGATAAGATAAAAATAAAAATAAAGTAATAAGATACAAGTGCCACAGAGAGTAATGAAGGGATTAATGTTGAATATACCTCTCAGAGAAAGAATTTCAAATCAAATCAAATCGTAGAAGAAAAACTTGTGTTATCGACGACAGTAAAAGAATTACAACGCTGAAATAGAACTGGGCTGGACATGTTGCCAGAGTCAGAGATGAAAGATGGACAAAGAAAAGAATTAAGGCAGTTTTTTATAACGGTTCTGTTTCTTTTTGGTTGGCAACCCTGTGTTATACTCAGTTATGTGTACTAAAAAATGTTTGAGTTAAAAATACACAAAAAACATAAGACACACAAAATAATTTTGACAGAACCAACGCTTCGAGTGGCATGTGTGTTCCAATGGCACAGTGTGACCTACATGTTCGAAGATCAAACCGATCACACTCTGTAATAGACTATCTGAGCCTCCGACCCCAAACTATAATCAACGACCTCTCCCGCCAATTGGCAAAATAATTTTTGTTCTTCTCATCGGTTGAGCGCCCGAAGGATCTGGTCATCGAGCCCACGTTTGTGGATACGTGGCCTATATTTATAATATTTAAGTTCCGCGAGCTTGGTCCTTTTGACTTACCTGAAAGGCATTAGTTGAGCCTAAAGGGGATTTTACCTGAACGGCTGCAGGTAAAAGACCTGAATAAGGTGCCTGAAGGGCCTTATACCTGATTGTGCAGCTGATCAGTATTAACTCTACTTTTTTTGAATTATATTGGCGCTGCATGACTGCTGTAACAGAACGTTATTAGTATTAAAAATAAAAATAACTAAAT